GTTTACGTTTAAAAAAGTGAGGAATTTTTCACTGGTTGTAGTGAAATTCATACCATGTGTTAGTATAGGCTCTAGCGAGTAGGTTAAATCATAATTTGTATGCACAGACACACACACAAGCGCAAGCGAATGCATGTGTACATTGCACGTATATGGACACGCCCGCTTGCTCACATACACACTCGTGTATACATGAAGATACATAAATCAAATGCGAACATTCACTCTCTGGTTTTCTCTCTCTCTCTCTCTCTCTGTCTCTCTCTCTCTCTCTGTCTCTCTCTCTCTCTGTCTCTCTCTCTCTCTCTGTCTCTCTCTCTCTCTGTCTCTCTCTCTTTCTCTGTGTCGCTCTCTCTCTCTTTCTGTCGCTCTCTCTCTCTGTCTCTGTCTCTCTCTCTCTCTGTTTCTGTCTCTCTCTCTCTCTCTCTCTCTCTCTCTCTCTCTCTCTCTCTCTCTCTCTCTGTCTCTCTGTTTCTCTGTCTCTCTGTCTCTGTCTCTGTCTCTGTCTCTGTCTCTGTCTCTCTCTCTCTCTCTCTCTCTCTCTCTCTCTCTCTCTCTCTCTCTCTCTCTGTCTGTCTGTCTGTCTGTCTCTCTCTCTCTCTCTCTCTCTCTCTCTCTCTCTCTCTCTCTCTCTCTCTCTCTCTCTCTCTCTCTGTCTGTCTGTCTGTCTGTCTCTCTCTCTCTCTCTCTCTCTCTCTCTCTCTCTCTCTCTCTCTCTCTCTCTCTCTCTCTCTCTCTCTCTCTCTCTCTCTCTCTCTCTCTTCCCCCCCCTCTCTCTCTCTCTCTCTTTCTCTCCCTCTCTCTCCCTCTCTCTTTCCAAAATCTTCCCAAATAACACACCTACACCCTTTAATTAACATATGAACAAATTAGGCGACCATTTTTTCGCTACGTCTGGTCGAAGCTTCTTGACTCCGCCCCTTAAAATCCCAGTCTTCGGCCCAGACAGGAATTTATGGCTCGGGAGAGAGGGAAAAAAATGGAGGAGATAAGGAGAAAGCTAAAGAAAGTGGGAATAGGGATAGCGGGCGAAAGATGGTGGATAATTGAGATAAAGAAAATAAAGTCGAAGAGTGAGCTAAAGAGACTGGACTTGAGGATGGGAAATGGAAGTGGAAAGAGAGTGGAAATGAAGGAAAAATGGAGACTAGAAGTGAAAAGTTGGAAAACATGAAAAATGGAGAAACGAAAGATGTGAAGTGGAAGGGAATAAGGAAAAATAAAAGATAGAAGAAAAAAACTTATATATATATATATATATATATATATATATATATATATATATATATATATATATAAACATATAAAGGGAGAGAGAGAGAGAGAGAGGGAGAATGAAGAAGTAAGAGAGGAAGATAAGAAAAGGACAGAGAGAGAAAGGCAGGAAGAGAAATTCTTTCAGTAATCATCACCATCACTGCCATCACTGTCTACTTTATAATCATTATCGCTTTTACCCCCGTTATCCCTTAGGGCAATATTACTGTATTGCAATCCCATAATCAACATCAACACCATCCACCATTAGTCTCATCACCATCACCAACATTATCACCACTAGCACTAACCATCATCACCATATATTCACCACCAATATCACCACCATTCTCTCCTATCATCACTATCACTATGAGCATCACCATCACATACTCTAGCACACCATCACTATCACCATCGCCATCACTATCACCATCAACATCCCCACCACAGGCCCTAGCATCACCATCACTAGAATCACCGTCACTATCACCATCAACAACCCCAACACAGGCCCTAGCATCACCATCACTAGCATCACCATCACTAGCATCACCATCACTAGCATCACCATCACTAGCATCACCATCACTAGCATCACCATCACTAGAATCACCATCACTTTCACCATCAATAACCCCAACAGGCCCTAGCATCACCATCACTAGCATCACCATCACTAGAATCACCATCAACATCACTTTCACCATCAATAACCCCAACAGGCCCTAGCATCATCATCACTAGAATCACCATCACTATCACCATCAACAACCCCAACACAGGCCCTAGCATCACCATCACTAGCATCACCATCACTATCACCATCAACAACCCCAACACAGGCCCTAGCATCACCATCACTAGCATCACCATCACTAGCATCACCATCACTAGCATCACCATCACTAGAATCACCATCACTTTCATCATCAATAACCCCAACAGGCCCTAGCATCACCATCACTAGCATCACCATCACTAGAATCACCATCACTAGAATCACCATCAACATCACTTTCACCATCAATAACCCCAACAAGCCCTAGCATCACCATCACTAGCATCACCATCACTAGAATCACCATCAACATCACTTTCACCATCAATGACCCCAACAGGCCCTAGCATCACCATCACTAGAATCACCATCAACATCACTTTCACCATCAATGACCCCAACAGGCCCTAGCATCACCATCACTAGAATCACCATCAACATCACTTTCACCATCAATGACCCCAACAGGCCCTAGCATCACCATCACTAGAATCACCATCAACATCACTTTCACCATCAATAACCCCAACAGGCCCTAGCATCACCATCACTAGAATCACCATCACTATCACCATCACCATCACTAGCATCACCATCACTATCACCATCACCATCCCTACCACAGACCCTAGCATCACCATCACTTGCATCACCGTCATCATCATCACCATAAACGCCGCCCTCCGCCCACCAGCACCTGTCTATCGCAGCCTCCGGGATGGGTGTTGCCGCCGACGCCCACGATCCAGCTACGTTAAGCCGCCCACGAAGAGAGAAATAAAAAAAAATGAAAGAAAAAAAAGGGAGGGGATAAAATAAATAAAGAAAAAGAGAGTGGATATAAAATGATTATTAGAATACTATTGGATGATATACGATGTACTGAAGGAAAAAAATGCTGTCATACATGTTAATTAAAATGATATAATGTATGCTAATATTATATCAATAAAGTGCTGGAATATATTTTAATGAAATGCTATGTAGTACACTAATACTAAAAGATATATAAAGTGTTATAAGTTGTATTAATAAGATGCTAACACATTAATATATATTAATATGATATTATAGGATACATTAATAAAATGCTTGTATGTTAATAAAATGCTACAGGATACGAAGGCCTGACTGCAATAGCCGGAATAGGATTACGTATAGCCGCTGCAAGAAGGATGCAATTGATATATATGTTGCATTGGTGCGAAGTATTGAATAGCGGTGAGTCTGTCCTGGCTGTCATCGCCGTGGGGGGAGGCGGGGGGGGGAATGTGCGTGGCTGTGAATTTAAAGGATGTGTGTGTGTGTGTGAACATGCATATGTACATGAAGACCTACGTTCAAATATACTGTATGTATATACACGTGCACACACACACACACATACGCACACACACACATACACACACACACACACACACACACACACACACACACACACACACACACACACACACACACACACACACACACACACACACACACACACACACACACACACACACACACACACATACACACACACACACACTCACACTCACACACACACACACATCTATCTATCTATCTATCTATCTATCTATCTATCTATCTATCTATATCTATATCTATCTATATCTATCTATATATATGTATATATATATATATATATATATATATATATATATATATATATATATATATATATATATATATATATATATATGTATATATATATATATATATATATATATATATATATATATATATATATATATATATATATATATATATATATATATATATATATATATATATATATATATATATATATATATAGACACAGAAGACGTCCATGTACTTCCTGTTTCCGGTTTTTGCCCTTGCACAATGCTCTCTAAATATTTTTATTTGTTTATTTACTTATTTGGCGGGAGGAGAGTCTGCTCTTTTATGAACCTCTTTCTGTTTTAGACACTAATCCGTTTTTTATGAAATTTGTTAAATGTATAGAAATTTATATTAATATGATATTATAGGATACATTAATAAAATGCTTGTATGTTAATAAAATGCTAATACATTAATATAGATTAATATGATATTATAGGATACATTAATAAAATGCTTGTATGTTAATAAAATGCTAATACATTAATATAGATTAATATGATATTATAGGATACATTAATAAAATGCTTGTATGTTAATAAAATGCTACAGGATACGAAGGCCTGACTGCAATAGCCGGAATAGGATTACGTTTAGCCGCTGCAAGAAGGATGCAATTGATATATATGTTGCATTGGTGCGAAGTATTGAATAGCGGTGAGTCTGTCCTGGCTGTCATCGCCGTGGGGGGAGGCGGGGGGGGGGGGGGGGGAATGTGCGTGGCTGTGAATTTAAAGGATGTGTGTGTGTGTGTGGATATGCATATGTACATGAAGACCTACGTTCAAATATACTGTATGTATATACACGTGCACACACACACACACACCACACACACACACACATCTATTCACATTTCAACGATTTTTTTTTTCTTTTTTTTTTTCTTTTTTTTTTTGCGAAGCGTCGAAAGCGAAAGAAAAACGGGAAGCCATAACATATTACGTGCACCCTGCTTGGCTTCCTAATGATGGGCTTCACACTAAACATGTCTACCTAATTAGCTCTCTACTTATCGCACCTGTCTATCTGCCTAATTAATTGTTTGTAAACATTACTCTCTTTCCCGCGTAGGTAACTTTATGTGTTATTTATTTGTTATCTATGTGACTATTTTCCCTTGTATCCTTATTATGTGCATATCTGTACATACATACATACATACATACATACACACATGCGATAGATATAATACTAATGAGTTTATTTGTCATTCAGTTCAGCGAATGACAATCACAACTCCTTAAACAAGAACAAAAATATTAACAAGTACAACCCTAAAAATGACTCCCCTCCCCCCCTTCTCCCCCAG